CAACCTTGCTTTGAAGTGCGGCCGGTTTCTTGCTGCGGCCAACGCTGTGTTCATCACCACTAAACATGTTTATTTCAGTCCACAGTTGCCGGAGCAGAGCCACCCTTCTCGTGATGAACACGGCTATCCGCTTGAGGGCGTTGATGAAGTACCCGGCTCAGCAACTTCAGAATAACTGGCCAGCATTCGTTAACAACTGTTAGACATTGGGTGCCGCTGTGTATTACGAGCATCGCTGCCGTGTTGGGAGAGAGTACATTACTCGCAGAACAAATATCAATATTGGAAGATAATTTGAAAGAAAATGAAAAGCAAGAGAAAAGAATTGCAGAAATATGTGCAAAAACTGATGAACATAAAGAAGGGTTTATCAATTCAAAAACGTTGTTAAAAACAGAGCCATACTTTCAGAAAATACTTTTAGACCAAATTCTTTACGAAATCTCGAGAAATAAAAATCAAAAACGAGAAGCTGAGAAAAATCTCGAAAAAAACATTGAGAAAACTATTGAAACACTTTTGAGATTGGATGAACTAAACAATAAAGAGGAATACGAAAAACAAATTGAAGACTACATTCAAAGGTTGTAAGAAACAGTGTGGACTATCTCAAAAATTATGAGAATAGGGCTTGCTGACAAATTGTAAACGATTAAACTTTTTTCATTTGCTTAGAATACGGTTCTCTTCAGAATGTCAACCGAACAATCCGAGAGCGCATCTCAGGTCGAGACCCAGGCAGCACCTGCCGGCGATATCACACAGCAAGCGACAACCCCAAATCCAACCACGCAGCGCGTGAAAAATCCTAAGCGTGTGGCTCCTGGCAAAATGGTTTCTGAAAGAACGCGGCAGGCGCGGGAACAACAGAAGAAAGATGCCGAGGCTTATAGGGCTCTCGGGGAAAATAAGGCGAAAGCCGCCACAGAACCCCCTGAGCCCGCCCCGACTACAGAAGGCGAAAGCCCAAAGAGCAGCGGCCTCAGCGCCAACCAATGGATTGCTATTGGCGGCATAGGCGTTTCACTGCTCGGGATTTATTACAAACGGGAAGAGCTCAAGGCTATGGCCAATGTCGCATTCGACAAAAAAACACCGGAGCCCGCGCCTGAGCCCGCGCCTGAGCCCGCGCGTGTTGAGCCAGAACCTTCTCGTGCGACACGGACGAAAGGATTAAAAAAAAAGATTTGAACTTTTGCGTGTAATAAGTACCACGATGCCAGAAATTAACACTTCACAGAAGATTATCACTTTCACCACCACTTTTGGTGTCACGTATTTGCTGCTCGACTTTGGTATAAAGGTTTTTCGCGGAACATTCAGAGCTTTGGATGAAGCCTTTTTTGACAATAATGCCGGAGAAGAAGAGGAAGTCTTTGTCAATAATGGGGGAGAAGAAGATGGAACAAGAAAAAGAGAAATTGCAAAAAGAATGCTAGAAGGAATGGAACAAGAATTAATAAGAATGGGCGTAGGAGAAGAAGAAATAAGAAGAATAAGAAGAAGAGTATTAGGAGAGGGAAAGACAGATTAAATTAACACAGTTTGGAGATAAGCTTTTTGAAAATATACTCAGATGGAAGTCTACTGTGTGAAAGACGGGCGAGTGACGCCGAACGTCCGAGGAACAGCAAAAATTGTTGCTACAAAAAGCAACCGGCGACTGCTAAAAGTGAAGTGTGCTGTGTGCGGAATCACGAAAACAAAGTTTTTGCCTGGAATTCCCAGAAAAGCAGCCAAATAAGAGCAAGCGGGAAAGACAGATAAATTTGTTTTGAACATTTGTTTTACTTATATTAGCCACTATCATGTCCGACAACAAGCTTGTCAAGACCGTCATTGAGGCCGCAACTCTCACGGGATTAGCCGCGGGCATCGGCTGGACCGCAAAAAAGGTTTTGAATGAGAATTTCACTTCCGATCCCAGCAGCAGCCCGATGAATTACGCTAAGTTCACCGCCGTCATGGCGGAAAGCATTGCGCTCAAAAAGTACCTCGAGGACCAGAAAATCCTCCCCGACAGCGTTTGAAGAAATACAAGTCTATTATATTGCGCCATGGCAAGTATTGCAAGCATCGACGTTCACGAGGCTGTTTCGAGATCCGCGAGAGAAAACGAAAAGAACTACGACGAAGCACTCAAGAAGTTTCTTGAGCTTTTCGAGAATACAGTTCTCAACCACGCTTGGATCGAGGCAAACGTGAATAAAAAAGAAGATGCGGAGTTTTTGAAAGATGGTCAAGTGCGAGCCGCCGAGGCGTATCAAAACGCCGAAGAAAAATTCAAGAACGAACCCGAAGACCTTCTCAACTGGATTGCGAACAACTTGGTACTATTCAAGGAAAACAGCAATGAGTTGTGATTTGAAAAAAGCTTCCGATAATATATAACCATGGCGAGCATCGCTATCATGATTGACGGGGCTGTGTTGAACGCCACGGCTTTTATCGGAGGCAATTATCTGGCAAGGGCGCTCGGCGGGGGCGACAAAGCTGCGCTTGAAGAAAAAAAGCGCCACGACAAAGCTCTCGAAGATTATCAAGCGGCTTACGCCA